TTGTAATTGGTTACATTAATATGGCGAGCGATGTATGTGAGGTGGTGGCCACCGCTTTTGGACTAGCTAACTTTTATTTCTACAAGGTCTTTTATGTTAGAAGTTGTGTTGTGGTATTTTAAGTAGCACGTGTGTGTGTTGTGTGTGTGTGTTGGTGTGTGTGTGTGTGTGTTGGGTAGGTTTGTGAGCATATGTTCTCGTTTTACTGGATGTCTGTGGTGGGTTTTTTTTTTTTTGTTCAAGTTCACTTGTCATTTATTTTAATTTTATTTCAAAAATCCGGTTACATTTACATTGATTTTTTAATGGAAATTGAAAATTTTCACGTGAAATTATTAAAATGAAAATGATTGAAGTTGTAAATTATTTATCCGACCGAGCTCCTTCTCCTGTCCAATCTGATACGCTTTCAACTTTTCAACGAGTGCGTTTTCATTACATGTGTAGTGAGTGAAGAAACTGAAATTAATGGATTTTAGCTGCTGTTGACGGGATACAATATTAAATAAATTACGTGTATGTAGTACTGGTGACTTGTGTATAACATTGTATGAGGATAATTGACTCAGTTAATTGGTAATAGAATGACGCAAGTTAATTGAATGTTAGATTATTATTTTATATTACCTGGTCTGGGTGTATTTTTATTGTCAATTGTTGTAACATAATCTGAAATATTCTATGTTTTTTAAAAGGTCTTAAAGCAATCAGTTGTGCGTCTAGGAGCAAAAAACTCACAAATTTTGTTGTTATTATTTTTACGAGTTTCTACTACTATTTAAAACATCTTTAAAAGTTTTTTTGTCATCTCGTTACGATTCGTTTTAAAGTCTGCAAGTTTTTTCAAAGTATTTGGCATCAGGGTGTTTCATGTAGGAAGTGGTCTATTGATATATAACTCGGGCATCCGTCTTACCATTCATTTTTATCCATTTTTACCTTAACTTATTTGTAACGACAAGCATTGTTGATCTTTATGTTACCATGGTCATCTTTTCGTAAGCAACTTTATGTTCTTCCCTTGTTGTACCGCGGTTAACTTGTTAACATCTTGCTCGCTGTACAATCTCACCAACAAACATTATGTTATCTAATCTTTGAATTTGCTTATAACTGGTTAGCGAGTTGTTTATTTAACTTATTGATTTCTGTGTTGCTTCTCTCGTTATTGCTTGGCAATTTTATTCATTTTTGCTTAACTAGATTAATTTGATCAATTAAACAAACGATTAACTCATCAATTAGATGTATTCGAAATTGTGAGCCTATAGTACATTTGCATGGTGATCTATGAAGAATTTTTCTTATTCACCATGGATTTCGATGAAGTTATCAAGTCAATATTTTAAGAGATGGTTTAGTACCGCCAGAATTCTTTGCGATACAGTTTTTTAAAGTTTTTGTTTAATTTACATATTATTTTAAGACTTAGTTTCTCTTAGCAGGAATGTGTTCAACCTAATGTTTTAACGCATTTAAGTTTTGATTAAAATTGTTTTCAGTTATGTCACGCTCGTTATTGATACCGAATTAACTTTTAACCCCACTTGCTATAAGTGTGGGTGTGTAAATGTTGACATGTTGCCCGTTTAATTAATGCGTTGATTTTCGGTTAAGTTAGACATTTATTTTAGTTAAGGTCTGTCCGTTAATAATTTTTAGATTACATTTTATTGTTGATTTTGCGTTGCTTATTTGTCTGAAGAAGCTTACAATGCAGTGTTTGCTCTAGACAGTTTGAGAGCTTTACGGTTGTTATTGCGTTACTTCGATAGTTTTTTTTTCTTGTTATGCATTTGTTTTTTAAATTGGCTCATTCTATGTAGCCCTGAAAATATTCAAATTTTAATAAACAATGACATGATTTAATATATATGTGTAATTGTATGTATATATATATATATATATATATATATATGTGTGTGTGTGTGAACAAATTTCTGTAATAATTATTTATTATTAAGTTGAATTAAATTTTCGCCATGTTTGAATATGAATCTATTTACTTCATGATTGGTTCTCATTGATTATTGATTTTATTTGATGCCTTCCCGTCTTCAATTAACTTCTTTTAGCAAGGGTCACGATTCGCTTTTTGTTTTAGACTGAGCTATTGTGTATATATATATGCTTTGATTTACGCAAGTTAGTAGACATGCTTATTCTTTATAATTCACTTTTGCTTTTTAATTTATAAGCAGAACCATCCATAAAACATGCTGCAAACGTATGCACACACACACACATATATATATATATATATATAATATCTATATTTATGTATATATAAATATATGTGTATATTTATGTGTGTGTGTGTGTGTGTGTGTGTGTCCAAATGTTTATATTAAGTGCAGGATTGCCAACCAAATCCTGATGTGATATCCCTAATTTTTCACATCCGCCATTTTATTTTATCTCAGCGAGCCCACCTATAGGAAGACGTTTTTACGGATGGTTCCTTGATTGCTGTTGATGAATAAATTTGTTTACCGCCAGGCCGGGCCATTGATAGGATGGATATCATTTTGAGCTTAAAAATATCGTATTTCCTCCTCCATATTGTATAACATCTTCGAACCTAAGATAGGGACATCTTATATTCCTGCAAGTTAAATAGATTATCATGAATTGAAGTGTTTTTAAATAAAAATTCACAACTGCTGTTTTTGTGATTCTTCATTAATTGCCCGTGCGATGATATTAAAACACCTAATTTTGAATTTATTTCATACTAAATTAATTAATCTTTGTGGCATCTCATTATCATGAAAAAATGGTTGTAATGTTTTCAATTTGTTAGTTTTTATGACGAAATCAGCTGCCGTCCATATTGAAAAGAATGTATAGGAATGTTGGTCCGCATTGTGTTTTATCGCCTTAAATGACTGGCCCTTTTGTCATTTACTGGTGACTTCAATTGGGCAGTGATGTGCTAACTTTACTACTCACTAAAAGTGATTTACTAACTTGAAGACAAAGATAGTAACTATTTCTTAACTTTTTTTATTACCTCAATTCTATTCTACTTGGGATACTACTTTTCAAAATTATTTCTTTAAATGTGGTTAAGCTTTTTTCAGTTCTTAATTGCGATAAAAAACTTGAAGTTTCGCTTAATGCGGTCAGATGAAAATCTTATGATACATTTTTCTCAACCCGTTAGTATCAGAACATTGGGGTTGGTTGGGGCTTCGTGCAATAGAAAATCTTGCTAGGATTAAATGGAAATCGGAAAGAACGTACGTGCATGTTTATCAACAATGGAGAATTAATTAGAATCACTGATCTCAGTGCAATTCTTATAAAACTTTGATCACTTTAAGAATTAATAAATACATGTCTGAGAAAGAGATAAGCTTATGGTGAAAATCGAGAGTGGAAATTAATTTCGTTAATTCTGTTAGTTACATGCTAAATACATTTCCTTTTTCGCAACGAACTCAAAATTTCCACAATGCTTGTTAAATTCATTCCTCAAAGTGGTTCACTAACTTTTTTATTTTCCCGACGTTTTCTGTCGCAACTGAATTAAATTTTGGTGAAATGATGCAAGGATTATCAGCTTTCTGCTAAGAATTAGGTCTGGCGCATCAATTAACTCTCGAATTTCTTTCAAATAATTTTGCAGTATATAAAATTAACGATCGACTCATTTGTACGTGCATGCATAATTTTGTTCGGACAAGCACCTCTGTAAATATTCAACCAATTGAAGTCTGCGTGTTAATGGTTGGTAGGCAATTTCAGAAATGTTCACATACGTCAAATGTTAGAATGTAAGCCTACGTATTTTGTTTCATTCCCTCTGTGTACATATCATTGTGTTTCATTTAGTGCGTGTTACGTGCCATTGTGTTGTGCTTCCTTCATTTCATAAAATTTCTGCTGTGTGCTTTTGAAGCAACCAAAGCAAAATATTTTTTTCCTGAAGCTGTCCTTGAAACGTTTTGCAAACTGCTGACGACACTCTTGTTAGAAAAACATCCAAATATTTTGAAATATTTTTTATGTCGTACTGACAAACTTGACGAGGAACGTTTAGATTTTTGATTAATAGAAGTCTGCGTTCGTATCTGAATTTTGTTGAGAAATTCGCAATGTTGGAATTTGGTTTTAGGAAATTTTCATTATCTATTTTATTTTTTTAAATAATTGAAAACAAATTTCTAATAAAAATTTGGCTAAAATTAATGAGGAAATACAGAAGCACTCAGATCCCGAATTTCACCGCGTTTCAGTAAGTTTCTCAGTTCAGTTTCACTTCTGACATGTGGGAGTTAGTGCATCGAATATTTTTTTAAAAATAATCCAATTTTGAAAACGACGGTATTAGGAATTAACAATCAAATCGGCCGGAACGCAAATCTGTAGTGATTAGACAGCTGTTGTCATGAAAATTTATTAATTTCCAATTATTTCTCTAATTATTGTAAACAAATTCAATAAAAAATAGCAAAATAGTACATATGATGCAAGGTACTGTAATTTCATTGCACATGCAAATACTCAAGCTCATGTAATCAAAGCTGAACTTAAAACCAATCAACCAGTCGGTCGGTCGGTCGGTTGTTCGGTCGGTGGGTCGGTCAGTCAGTCAACCAATCAATCAATCAATCTACATTTGCTATCAGAATTTAGCAAAAACAAAACAACCATTAATTACAAAAAATTCACTAAAACTATAGAGCATATTGATGAAATTGTTTTTAAAAATTTATTCATCTTTTCAATAGAATAAGATTGGCATTGAACAATATTAAACAGAATGCAAATTAATTAACCGATTTTTTTTCATACATTTCGTAATAACTCTCGAATTCATATTGCATGCAGTTGGTTGCAATTGCAACAACACAAAAAATTACGCCATCAGAAAGATTTAAAAATCGTAAAACTGCTGAAAAATATTGATCCTTGAAATTCGGTCCAAAAAACTTTAATAATGATTGAATAAATATATAGAATGAAAGCAAGAAACCATCAGTAGCGTAACAAACAACCAAACAAATTAAAGGATAAGTACGTCGCACGATCAACGCTAATGAAATGTAAATACGAATTTTCTGTTCAGGCAAACACTTGGAGATTTCAAATGAAATTATCCTTTGTGTCCTTTCAACAGCGCAAGTTATTACGACCAAACGAGAGATGAAAATTTGTAAATAAAACGTTAAACGAACCTTTAAGAGCGCCATCTGTCGAGAATCACGCCTTGCCGTTCTGCAGAATGTGTGTGTCGTTGTGTTGCAGCATTGAGTTGTTGCGTGTTTGATTGTTGTTCTGTTGTGTTGCTTGTTATTGAGAAATTTTGCTGCTTTTGCTGCTTGTGTGTGCGTGTTTTTATGTTGAAACGTGTGTGTGTTGTTGTTTTGTGTGTTTTGGATGTGTTTGTTTATTTCGCGGTTGTTTTGTTATATTTAAATTTAAGTTATTTTTCTCGATTGGTTTTTTGTTGTTGTTATTTAGTTGCAAAATCTGTGTCGATAATGTTGACGTCAATTATTGTTCGGTGGATGTTGCTAACTTGCCATTAAAACTTTTTGTTTGATTTGGTTTTCTGTTCCAGTGAATTTGCGCAATTGTTTTGTGCCCACAATCAGCCAAAGTTTGTTAGACTGGATGATTGTGTTGGTAATTTATTGCATCATCCATTAAATTTCGTTCGCTTCATCGATCCCAAATCCTTGCACTAACCTCCGTCACCGTTAACAAAATGCTGCATCTTTCCACAGAAAGTGTATTCGTGTGTGGTAGATGATATTTTCAGAAAAATTGACACGAAATTGGTATAAGGCAAGTTTGCAATAGAATTTGTGAGGAATTGATTTTATATGATACGTACATTTCGCGGGGAACAGTTTCACCACGGGAGGAAATAATGCCGAGACGTTTCACAGATTTACTCTCGGGTTCTCTCTTTCTCTCTTTTTTCACTGTATCTTTTTTCTCTCTTTCCCACACACACACACATACAGCACACAAACACACACATACACACACACAAACTAAAACATACACCTACTTACACACACACACACAAACTAAAACACACACGCACACCCACACACGTACAAACTAAAACACACACCCACCTACATACACAAACACACACACACACTAAAACACACACACCCACCTACGTACAAACTAAAACACATTCACAAACTAAAACACACACACACACTCGAGAAACAAATGTGTGGAGAAATTGTTTGATGAGAGGTTGAGAGGAGAGGAGAGATGTTAGCTGGAGGGTTCTTGCGTGCTCGGGCAGTGCTGTTTCAAAAAAATTGCTCCTTAACTACCTTCTTAATGCATTATTGAGAATGCATTTCTACGAGGTTTTCTCACTACTAGATGATACTTACAGACTCTGCTGCTCATTGCAATAATAACAATAACAATAATAATAATAATAATAATGATAATGATAATAATAATAATGATGATGATGATGATAATTATAATAGTAATAGTAATAACAATAATAACAATAATAATTATAATATGCTTATACAAGTTAGTATTGTGATATTGAAAGTAAAAAATTAACTTCGTTTACAGGTTTCCAGTTGCAAAAAACATAATTTTAAGAAAAATTAAATAGATCAGTGAGTAAGATGAAAATTGCCAGGAGGAAGTAATTTAGCCATGAACGTATAAATGGACGATTGGATGGATGGACAGTTGATTAGATAGATTGATCGTGTAGATGTTTCAGGGAAAATGCTTCGATAAGATAAGAATTGAGCAATGATTAGGAAACGATTTTTAAAAGAATAAACTCCTATAAAAGAAAAGAAAATGCATGCATGAAACTGAAGTACAAATAATTCAATAGTTTACTATTTCAAGAAAAATGAATCAATGATCAATTAATTAATTTTTATGATTTTTATGATTGATTAAACGAATGAAAAATAAATAAATTAGTTGAAAAAACCATATGAACGAGTGAACAAATGGCCAAATAAATAAATAAACTAACAAACGAACGAACAAATGAACGAACGAATGAACGAAAAAACGAATGAATGACGAAAGAACAAATGAACGAACAAATAAATGAATGAATAGACGAATGAATTAGTGGGAGTATTGGGCCTGGGTGTGTGGGAGGTTTACATGGCGCACAATACATCTAATTGAACTTTATGCATTTCTTTTGATTCTAACACATGTCGGCTTGTGTATGTATCACTGAGATGTTTTTTCCATGCTTCTTGTTATGTACGTTGAATGACTCCATTGTCTGATGCAACATGCAAAGTATTATCTAATCAGCAGTTGAGATGCTGTGATGATGATTTAATGAAAATGATTTGGTTTTTGTACGAAGAACTGCCAAAATGTTAACATAAAAAACTTATTTTGGCTTCATTTTATATTTATTCAATTCATTATTTCTTGACTGAGTTTCTAATTTGCATCTTTGTTTATAAAATTTTTTTTTACTGTGGTTTTATAAGATCGAACATTTTTATTGATTTGGTTCGACGCTACATATTTTACTTTATTAAAGAGTGGGAAGCGTCACCACCATTTTTAATAAGTTTCTATCATCAAATAAAAATAAACTTTCGTGATTTTTAAATTTTTATGTTTATTTTCAAACTGTTTAAAGTCTTATTCAAGAATTTACTAAACCGTTTCGTTATTGCTGAAATTTAGTTTCGAATGCTAAATCAGTAACTCAGGCTAAATAGTTAATTCTGAAAAAGATTGGTTTTATTGAAGAATTTTGAAGTTTTAAAAATTTACAAATCACCAAAAAAAAATTAAAGTTGTTGGAATTTAATATTGAAACCAATTTTAGTCTTGATGTCAATGGAAAATTCAATAAAACTCGTTCTCATTTTCATGTGCCATCCTTATTGTTAAGGCGAACAAATATGAAAAACTATCTTCAAATTTTCTTAAGTGTTTGAATTGTTTTACAACATGTAAAAAAATAGAAGAAATAGTTGACAAGTTGTTGTAACAGAGGAATATATTTTGACCAAAATAACATTTTTTAAATTTTTTAACAAAATATTTTGAGCAAAAAGAAATATAATCAGTAACAGAACAACAGTAACATAACAACATCGTAAGAGCAACAACGTAACAACATAACAACAACAACAAACAACAGCAACAACAACAACATAGCAACCCAACAACAACAACAACATAGCAACCCAACAACAACACAACAACAACTACTACTACAACTACAACAACTACTACAACAACAACATGAAGAAATATCATCTGGAAATAGAAATGTTTGTTTCAGGCATGCAATGTCAACGCTCAACAGCTGTCAACAGATTAGGCACGAACAAGTAGGAAACATTATTGACACAAACAGATGAAAACAAATAAACAAAAAATTATGGTAGTGATAAACAAAAACAAACAAACAAACAAACAAGCAAACAAACAAATAAACAAACAACCAAACAAACAAACAAACAAACAAACAAACAACCAAACGACCAAACAGACAAACAAACAAATAACAAAGCAGACAAGCAAACAAACAAACAAACAACAAGTAATAATATTAATCTCATAAAGTATGACAATAAGAGGACAATAAGATGAACACAATAACGCGTGAGAACGCATGCATTTGCGGTGCATGTAATGATCTGTCTTCTAAAAAGCAAGCCACATTCAATTACTCTCCCATCTAAAAACATCTACACGAACTTCCTCTCACTCAAACGCAAACAACGAACAACAAATGCACTGAACTGTACAAAGACGTCTTAGCACATCGCATTGAAAGCTGTTTCAATGAGTTTTAATTTGAAAATTATTCACCGGTTATGTTATAATATTCTTATTATTCTTATTCATGAATTTATCCAGGAATAATATTGTCAACTAATGACTGTTTTCATCTGTCATCACACCATACCAATGACTTTTCGCTATTCAAACTTACCTAGTAAGAAGACCTGTACACTCGCTTCATGTTTTTTTTTGAAAAATGGCTCCAGTTACAAATGTCCATCCAGCAGAGTACCCACATTGTAGTGTAGGATAAGCTTCAGAACGTTTCCTAGCTAATATTAAATTTATTAGTGTGGTTTTATTTCAAAAATAATGTGAAAAGCAGACTAGGTCAAGACTTGAGCTAAAAATTTCAAAACGAAAAATCTAACAATTACGATGCTGATGTGGGATGCAAAACGTTTAAGAAGTTTTAATTATAAAATTGTATTATATTAATAGAGACAAGAAGAATAAGTCGGAAATAAGCCATGAAAAAATCCTGAGTTTTTCAGCTAAAATGACCACAAACATAAGACATTTCCTGCTTTAATGATACATAACTATAGGAAGAAACTTCATTGTGAGCATCTGAAGACACCTCACTCCCCATTACAACCAACAACAATAACGTCATCAACAACACTTCCAACAACAACAACGTTATCATCAACAACAACAACAAAAAACAACAATGTCACCAATAACAACAATAGCGTCATCAACAGTATCATCATCGTCATCAACAACAACAGCAACAACTAGCAAAAATAACGGTACCAATCAAAACATCAGCAACAACAACATCCATCGTAATAACAGATAACACAAACTGTCAATTTGTTTTAACCACTGGCAACAACTTCATTGAAATATTAAACGCTTTATTTATGTACAAATCCCAAAAACTTTATCACCAGCAACTGCGATGTTAATTTTTAAACACTTGTTTGTGGGTGTGTGTGTGTTTGATGGTATTCATATGTATGTTTGTGTATGTGCGCGTGAGTGCGCCTGGGTGTGTATGTTTGTTTGTTTGTGAGTGTGTGCGCGTGCGTCTGTCTGAGGTACGTAGGCCTTGAATGTGCGAGTTTGTACAAAGTAGAGTGAACGAGGAATGATGATGAGCCTTACATTAAAAAGTGAATTTGTTATGAATCAACGAGTTGGTCCTACTTGTTGTTTTCCTTGCCGATGTTGTTGTTAATGACGTTGAAGACGTTGGTTTCATTTGGCCTTATTTATAGAGAGGCGAGTTTGTGTGTTGTTCGCTTTAGTTGTGTTGTTGTATGCCAAAATACATAGGTGTGAGTTGTTTCGTTCGTGTTGTCGAGTGTTCGCGCACGGACATGTGCCTAGAGTGTCCTATTATTTTGAAGTTCTTCTTCAATATGCTTCCTAATTGAAGTATTTTTGCGTCCGCTCCCTAACGAGCACTTAATCAACTAAAATGTATACCCAGAGTAGATAGTTTTATAACTTACAAAAATAATGACAGTCATCATCCGCACAAAATTTTATATCACTTATTTCTTGAGAATCATGAAACATATTAAATTACAAGCGTCAAATAATTTGTCTTAATTTGGTGTTCATAGTAAAACTGCTCACTAAAAATGTACATAGCTGCGTAGGAACAGATGAAGAAAACAAACAAAAGACTTCAGAGACATTTCGTCAAGAGGCAGACAGACAGACCGACATGCACAGAAACTCTCAGACGAAGGAAGAAAGATTGAAGAATCAGTGTCACCTTGCTGCATTTGCATAATAAAACATCAATAAACACCTGCTGGCATCGCGTGTGGCGAGAGTTTACGCGGCAATCCAATCATTCAATTTATTTTTGAAATGTGTCCACTAATTCGTTTAGCTGAATTTTTATCCTTTTTATTTTCATTTATTATTTATTTAATCCTTAATTTTAATTATTGACTCATTTTTATACCAGATCTTATT